ACTTACTAGCTGTGTGACTCTGGGCAAGTCACTTACCTCCAAATGCCTCACCAAAAAAACAAAACAAAACAAAAAAACTTCATGAAGAAATATTATCTTGAGTGGCTATAACAAAATAGAGTCAAAAGAGTCAGGTTGAATTTTTGTACTTACAAGCATAAATGAGACTTTGGGAATTCAATAAATAAGTGCAGATGTGATTTGTCACAGTTGTTCAGTATTTGAGTGTACTAAACATATAGGTTCAGGCAACTGCTTTTACTTAAAAGCAAAGCTTTCATTTGAAGCAAAAATGCCAATTAATAGGACTTTACTCAAAACGGCTCCAAAAATAACTACCAACAAATGAGTTTTGATTATTGTTCTCTCAGTTCTACAAACATTTAATCCCTTTAGAAACTCCTGATTATGCACAGCCAATTTTAATTCCAAAAATGTCCTCCCTTCCCTGGCCATAAATTATGTGCTTAAGGCATGCAGACTCACTCTAATACTGGACTAAGCAAAACACAATTAGGAAGATACATCTGAAAAAGATTATTCAATACCCCCCCAAAATAATAGTTTTATTGCTGCTTTCCTCTGGGATCACAGAATCTTTAGAGTTGGAAGAGATGTTTAAAGGTCATTTAGTCCAACATCTATCTGAACCACAAATTATCCTTGTGAAATCAAGACAAGTCCCTAGCTGATTATCATCAGAGACTGGAAATTCATTTCTTCATGAAGAAACCCATTGTATTTTTAGATGTTGCTGACTGTTAGGAAGTTCTTATTTATATTGGGAGCTTCTGAAATACACCCCTCATATATCAGTCATATATACATAGTCTTCCTGGAGCCAATCAGAATAAGTTTAATTTTCCTTCCCATAATGCTTCTTTAATACAAATTATTAACCCAGTCACACCTAATCCCATCCTACTCTTGTCTTGTGAAGACCATAGGGGGTTTACTCAACATGCTTGGGGGCTTCGATCTAGATTTATTGATGTATGGTAGCCACCAATTGAACATCTGGGCTATCCAATGCTATTTCTCATTCTACTATTTAACTGGTCCACTTCCCCCCTCCTGCCCCCCCCCCAGTCATAGCTCTCTAATGATATTCTTTACCCTCCTTCTCCTGTGCAATTCTTTATTAATGCTGTGGTTTCAGCCTTTTATGCCCACCATTTCCCTTTCTTCATTGAACTTTGGGTGGCCTGGAAATTTAACTCTTCAGAGATTATGGCAAATCATGAATTCGATTAACATGAATCCTTCGTCAGAAAGGATAGCTCCCTAAAGAGGGGCCAAGAGAGGGTATTTTTGGAAATGAGAGTGATTATTAATAAAAATCTAAAAACAAAAAAGGATAAACCCTTGCTTCAAGGAGAAGCTTGAAACGCCCTCCACAAGTTCCCAAATGAAATCCAATCCTTTCTCCACTTAGTATCTGCCCAATATGTAGATATGTATACACACACATATACATACAAACAGGGACAGATGAGCTCAACTGGCTGTTTCAACTTCAGAGTCTGAATAACAGAGCTTCTCCATTCACATAATTGTTAATAACAGCTCACATTATGAGGCTTTATTATGAACAAAGCTTTCTTCACAACAATTCTGTGAGGACTATAAGGTCCATTTACACATGACGAAAACTACTACTTTATCACAGTCCCACTCAAGTCTTACCTCTTTCTAGGCTAGAAACATACTCTGTTCCTTTATCTGATCTTCATATGATCATATGGTTTTAAGCTCCCTCACAACGTTGGCCACCTTTCTTTAAACACAATCCATCTCAACATTCTTCATAAAAGTTGGTACCCAGAACTGAACACAATACTCCAAACATATTCTATCTAGCACAGAGTACAGAGGGACTATTACTTCGCTTGTTCTGTACGATATATTTATAACCACAGTTTTTTGGCAGCCATGTCATACTGACTCTTATTGAGCTTGCAATCAGCTAAAATCTCCAGGTCTTTTTCACATGAAATGCCTCGGCTTCCCTGTTATGTATTTGTACAACTGATTTTATTTTAACCTTAAGTGCACAACTTTAAGGAAAATTTTTATAAGTCACAAAAGACTATGCACTGTCACTAGGTCATTTTCTTGACAATAAATGGTTTATGAGGACCAATTTTTAACTGCTGAGGAAAAGGTAACTATAATGTGTGCACCCTGGCTACATAAGACTACAGAAGTGATAATATAAGGAAAGTAGTTTCTAAAGTTATATAAAAATGTTTTCTTCCTTTGAATATAGTCACTATAAATTAAGAAGTCTTTAAAAGAAATACTACTATCCTGTTTTTTCAGCAAGAAGAAAAGACTAAGTTTGCTACAAAAGCTAGTATTTTAAGTTTCTCAGGGGAAAGGGAATTTATTTTGTGTTTTTTAAACTATTTACAACTTAATATTTAATACAAATGATTTATTACAATAAATGCACATATTTTATTTTAAAAGCACATCCACAATACACACAGGATTAAACTAAATTTAACTAATTTTTGTTAAATGCAATTATGACAAGTTCTTGATAATAGATATTCTAATACCCGTGGCAAAAATATTCATAATGATTTTACAAAAAGGATCTAACATTCATAGTTGAGAAATAAAATAATTAAACACCAGTTTTACAACATTACATCGGTAGGATACTTCTGGCTTTTCAAAGTCCATTCATATCTATACTGTTTCCGATACTTATTAGATTAAGAGGCAATGCTGGAAAAAGAACCAGGGCAACCAGATGAGTCACTTGTCAATGCTTCAGCCTTTTAGGAAATTACTATGTGTTCCTACCTATCTGTAACTAAAACAGTGCTAGAGATGATGTTGAGAAAGGACACTTTGAGCTTCCCAAGAAATAAAGACACCTAAAATTACTTAGGTAACATCTATAATTAAAACAAGAAATTCTGACAACTAGTTACATTTAAGGTTTGAAAAACAAAATGAAACTTTAAAAAAACCTAGAAAAGAGTATAATTACTCAGTTTTTACAGATTAAGAAACTGAAATCAAATGACTTGCCCAAGGCCACTATTAAGTTACAGAGTCTGATGTCCAACCAAGTCTTCTTTCTATTCTTTCTACTATACCACATCTTCCCAATAAGAAAATGATTAATTATAGATCAAATCATTCCTGGACCTCATAATTGCGAGCATTTATATAGTTCTCCAAGGTTTGCAAAGAGCTTTACAAATGATTACTTCAATTTATCCTCACAACAACGCTGGCAGATGAAGATAGAGACTGAGAGAAGTTGCCCATGTTCGCACAACTAGTACCTAGGGTCCGATTTAAATTCAAATCTTCGGGACACCAAGCTCATCCATTCTTTCTCACCCCACTGTTCCAACTAGCTGAGCTGCTTTACCTCTGACCTGACCTACTCAATACAAAGGCAGTCTGCAAATACATATGCTACATTATCTCTAACCTTAGTCTTAAAATGCCTTTTTAAAAAAAGAACTATATCTACCTGAAAACACATTTGGAAGACACTTTTCTCAAATATTTATCACAATAATCACTAGATATCACAATATCACTTGTAGATAACATCTTATTCTTAGACCTATTTCATTTACAAATTCTACTTGATGAAAACTGAAGTCATACCACAAAGTAAATAATAGGCCTCAATTTTCTATAACCACGGTCAGCAACGTGAAAATTAAAAAACAAAAACAAAAACTTGTTATAAACACCTGTTCGATAATTTCCAAATTTCAAAACAATGGGCATTTTTTCTTAGTGGTAAGATCCTGTTTGACAACTAAAGCTTTAACACAGGTATTCTAAAGAAACACATTTTCGATATTGCAAACATCTCTTTAGCCGGTAAACCGCACAGACTGACTTAGGTCTGACCTCCCTCCAAAATGAAAAGAAAAAAAAAAATCACCAGAACTGTTAAATTACACTTAGGCACATGGAGTCACTCTTCCCTCAAATCACTTTACAGAGAACTTCCCCGTTTGCTCCGCCCATCTAATAACTCATGCAAAAAAAAAAAGTTCAGCACCATTAGAAAGGAACAGGACACGGAGAGTAGGCAGGATGACAAATGGCTCCTTAACCCCCGGGGAAAGGGGACCCGAAAGTGTCCCTTCGTGAGGTGCAGACACGCAGGAGAAGCCTGGATGAGGGGCTGCGGACACCGTCACTCTGCAAAAGGTTCCCTTTCTGCAGACGCTCCTGCGGCCATGCCTCCCCTGAGCAGCACAAGGCCGCATCACCATCATCCTTATCCTTCCGTCGCTATATTGGGGAGTGGGTCCATGGCACCCCACCATTGCTCAAGGTCCCCCGCGGAAGGGTCATAGGTGCTGCCCCGCTCCCTCCAAACCCGGGAGCGCTACCTGCCTTCCCCGGTCGCCCCCCCCCCGCCCCCTTCACGTCGCTGCCCCTCCCCCACTACCTTCTCGGCGGAGGCCTGCGCCAGCCGGGGTCGGGGACGTGGGCGCCGGGGCCCGCGTCCGGGCCCCCCCCGGCCGGGGGGGCCGCTCTGGAGAGCCCCCGGGGGAGGACGGGCGCCGCCGCCCTCCCGGTGTGGAGCGGCCGTGGCGGGGCATGGGGAGGGGGCAGGCCCCCCCGCGAGGCCAGAGGAGTCTGAGGGCGGCGGCCGGCGGGGTGCGGGGCCCGATCCCTCCCTCCGCCCCCGGGGCCCCGGCTCGCCGAGCGCGGCCAGGCCCCATCCGCCGGCTCCCTGGGACGAGAGGCAGGTCCCCGCGTCCTCGTCCCGCGTCGGGGAAGGACGGGGGAGGGGGGCACGAGGTTGGGGAGGGGCCGAGGCTGCGCCCGCGCCCGCGCCCTCACCCCGGGACCCCGTCACTGCCGCCGCCGCCGCCTCGGAGGGAGGGCGGGAGCCGAGGGGAAAGCCCGGAGTGGGAGCGAGAGGACGGAGAGGGGAAGCCCAGGTCTTCCCGGCTGCCCGCTCCCGAGCCCGCTCTCCGCCTTCCCGTGCCCGCGTCTCTTACCCGTGATGGCGGTGAACTGCTGGATTAACCCCTTCAGCGCCGAGGAGGCCGCAGAGCCCCCGTGCGCCGCCATCTTGCCGCCGCCGCCGCCGCCGAACAACAACACAGACACAAGTCCTCCCTCCCCGCCGCACGTTCGGCGCAAGCGCGCTGCCCGCCCCGCCTCCCGCTCCCTCTGCAGGGGCCCCGCCCCTCCCCGCCCCACTGTATGCTCTGCGCAGGCGTCCTACCCAGCCCTTCCCATTCCCCGCTTCTCCCCTTAGTTCGTGAGTACGCTACTCTGCCAGCCCCCTTAGCGACCGGACCCGCCCTCTCTGGGCAGGACTGCTTTCGGTAGCCCCGCTGCCGGTTCTTTCCGTTTCAAATTCAAAAAGCTTTATTGGTTGCCTCCGCCACGGACACTCGGCTGCGGTGGCTGGCTTTTTTTTTTCTTTCTTAGCGCGGGGTGATTTGCATCTTTGGCTACCCGGCGTGCTCCGCGGGGCATCCTGACGGGGGTCCGGTGGCTCCAGGCAGGGGCGCCCAGGGCGGTCCCGGCGGCGTGGGCAGAAGCAAAGCTGGCGCCCCTCCCATTTCCCCTTTGGATGCTGCCCCTGCCGCGCTCCTGGAGCGCTTGTCTCCCTTCCTGCCAAACCCCCGTGCAGGGCCCCTTGCTGCCTCCTCCCTCTTCCTAACCTGGGCTGCGTCTCTAGTGCTTTTGAGCCCTTTTCTTTGCGAGGAGTTGGGCTAATGTGATAGAAGAAAAAAAACGTGCCTTCCATTCCTTCTTCATTCTTTCATGCATTCCTGTCTGCATCCTTTATTCCTTCTTTCATTTCTCCATCCATCCATCCATCCATCCATTCATTCAATAAATTGGAAAACACTTCCTTTCACTGAGATTCAGATTCCTCATCTGTCATTTGTTGGGGGGAGGGGGGAAAGGAAGGTGACTTCTAAGGTCCCTTCCCGCCTTTACCTTCTGTAATAATGTGACCCTTGGGGGAGGGGGAGGGGGTGGAGGAGAGAGAGAAAACCTAAAAGTCTCTACTTCCATCCTCCCTAAGGGAGTATCCCAGAAATAGGTGTGTCCCGGGAATAGGTGTACCAAAAACCACTAAAGCCATATTTGAGCCGATTTAAGAAGAATCCATTAGGAGTCAGGAAAGAGAAAAGGGGAGGGGGGCTTGGAGTGGGACTGTGAGATAAAGGAAGCCAGAGAAGCCTGAGCCTGAGAGAGTTAAGGAGGAGCTCTTTCTAGTCTGACAGCAAAATCCAAAAACAAACAAAAGCCTATGGAAGTTGATCAGAGACCGGGATACCGCCTGCACCCCCACCCCATGAAAGCAACCGGTGCAAATCCTTGCATCCCCAGAGGAGTCTACAATTACATCAGCAACCTGGAGGTACCCAGAGGCCTTCATTTTAAGATTGTTTGAATTTGGGCTGAAGAGGAGAGGGCAGGGAGGGCTTGCCACCGTAAGCCTTTTGTGAATTTTCTTTGTTCTCTTGATAGTGTTGTTTCTGTTTTAAGCTTCCACTCGAAGTGCTTACCGGGCAATGAGCCTTTGTTTGGGATCTTGGATGAGCAACTCAGGCCCATTGCTAGTATTCTGAGGACAATGTTCATTCCTGATTAAGTGTCAAGGACTAGGGCTGCCCCAAAATTAATTGGCTGGTTTGGTACTGTTCCTTAGTGAATCAACAAAGTATTTATTAAGCACTTACTAGGTGGAAAGCACTGTGCTAATAATAACCGGGGAGGCAAATGGAAACCAAAGACTGTTCTTGTTCTCAAAGAGCTCCCATTTTAATGGGGGAAACAATGCATTTGGAAGGTTTCAGATGCAAGACAGATGGAAAGATCCTATGGTACTTAGGGTGCAGCATCAAAGCAGATGGCAATGTTTCTCCTGTAATGCAATTTCCACTGATAGAATCACATCCGATGTTGGACCATTTTATGGTGCCAAGGGGTTTGGTGACCAGAAATTTCTTTTCTGGGTCTTTAGTGGCTGTGACTGACAGACCTTCAGGAGCCAGGCTGAATCTCCACAGGAGCTGGTTTCTTTCCAGGATGATGGCTGGGAGGTCGGGGCTGGAAGCACTACTATTCCCAAGGTTCTTGGGCTGAGGGTTTGGGGCTTTCTCCTTTACGGTCTGAAGGGAGATGGTGGTCACAGTTTTATATGCCTGGCACATGCTGTCTCCTGCCTCTCTCTCAGAGTACCTTACTGCTTCAGCTTTGGCAAGCTTGCCTACCCTGTGGGTGGCAGTTGGTTGGAAATTCTGTCCAGGGGGCCCTCTCTGGCCTTCAGTTCCCTCACAGCCCTATTCTTGGCTTCCAGACTTCCAAACCATGCTTTCTTATCCTGGAACTTCTCTCAGCACCTGGGGCCTCCTCATCCTGGAACATCCCTCTGTTTGACCACCCCCTTCTCCTGTCAGAGAGGCAGCTAAGTGGCACAGTGGATAGCTTGCTGGGCCTGGAGTCAGGAAGACCTGAGTTCAATTTGATCTTGGATACTTCCTAGCTCTGTGACCCTAGGCAAGTCATTTAACCTCTCCTTGCCTCAGTTACTTCAAATATAAAATGGGAGAGAATAGCAGAACCTATTCTCCAGGGTTGTTGTGAGGATCCAGTAAGATAAAACGGCTGGCATTTTTGTGGTTGTTGTTCAGTCATGTCTGACTCTTCCTGATCCCATTTGGGTCCCCCATTTGGACCTCATTTTCTTGGCAAAGATACTGGAGCGGTTTGCCATTTCCTTCTCCAGCTCATTTTACAGAAATTTTACAGAAACTTAGGTAAACAGGGTTAAGTGACTTGCCCAGGGTCACACAGTTAGTAAGTATCTGAGACTGGATTTGAACTCAGGTCTTCCTGACTACAGGCCCAGTGCTCTATCCACTCCCCTACCTAGCTGCCCTTACTTTTAAAATCTAGTCTGGCATTTAGTAGGTACTTAATAAAAACTTGTTTCTCTCCTTCCATTGGTGAGTTCTTCCTGGAACCTCCACTTTGTGGAGAGGCCCATACCCATCTTCATTCCCTTCCTTGCCTTGTTCCTGGCTTCTAGATTTTCAAAAACGTATCCCCATTAGAATGTGAGCTCTTTACTGTGCCCAAAGGGCTATAAACCTGTGCATACCCTTTGATCCAGCAATACCACTCCTAGGTCTCAGCAATACAGTGATCTAAGACAATTCCAAAAGACTTATGATGGAAAATGCTAATCCATATCCAGAGAAAGAACTATGAAGTCTAAATGGAGATTGAAGCATACTATTTTAATATTTTTTCTTTCTTGTGTTTTTTTCCCCTTTTGCTCTGATTCTTCTTTCACAGCACGACTAATGTGGAAATAAATTTAATATGATTGTACATGTATTGCCTATATCAGATTGCTTGCCATCTTGGGGAGGGGGAGGGGAAGACGGGAGAAAAATCTTGTAAAAGTGAATATTGAAAACTATCTTTACATGTAATTGGAAAAAAATAAAATACCATTAAGTGGGGGTGGGTGGGAGGGGGGCAAGAATGTGAGCTCCTTGAGGCCAGGGACTATTATTCTTTTTTTGTTTGTATTTGTATCACCAGTATTTAGCACAATACCTGAGCTTAATAAATGCTTTTTTCTATCTTCCTTCCTTCTTTCCTTCCTTCCTTCTTCCTTTCTTTGTTCTTTCCTTTCCATCCTTCCCTCCTTTCCTCCCTCCCTTCCTCCTTTCCTTCCATTGATGAGGTTAGCTGGCCCCTTCTTCTTAGGAGTTTCTTCCCTGGATGATGGCTGGGGGAGGGGGGAAGCTCTGAACTGGAAGCAGGAACAGTGGGTTCAGTTGGTCAGCAGTTGTTGCTGGCAGTAGCAAGGAAAATGGGGATGTCTCCACAATGATTTCTCCCCTCAATGATGACTGTGGGGGCTGAGCTGGAAGCAAGTCTGATGGTTTGGGTGGCACAGCTATCCCTGAGGTTCTTAGAGGTCCTGGGCTATCTCCATTGGAGTCTGAGGGGAGATGATGGTCAAAGTGATGGTGGTGGTTCCACTTACCTAGTAACATGCTACCTTTTGCCTCTACTTCAGGGTACCTCTTAGGAGATGAGTTTTAGTGACTGGGGCTGCCCTCCCCCCTTCTATATCCCTTCCCCCCCCACCCCCTACCCCATGCCCACACACACACTTCATTTGGTTGGCTAGTACTCTTGAGAGGAAAAATACAGAGCTTACCTGGATTCCTTTAAGGGGAAACCAGGTTATATGCCCCACCCCTTTGGTCCCAGCACCATCTATACACACATACCAGGATCTGGTAATAGTTGCTTTGGAGAAGAAGCATATGAAGACCTAAATGAGTTCACTCACACAGTCAGGAGAGTTCTTGGCCTTTTGCCTTTCTGTTTTCCTTCCTCAGAGACCAGAGAATTGAATATGGTCTTTTCAGGTCCAAAAGATGATAGCAGCTTCAGTAATTGTAATTCAGGAATAAAAGGATGATTAATGACTAATAGATACGGCCCTCTTCCACCTTTACCTCCACCCAGATAGGCAGAGTTGTGACCCCGAAACAGCAGCACACATAAGTAAGCAACAGGCCTACTGAAGGTGACACTATTTACCAGGGCGTAGGATGTGCCCTAACCCACCATGCTTCCTTCTCAACACTTCACATCTTTCCCCCTTAATATCCCACCAACCTCCTTACCCCAAAGTCCCTTGCCAGTATGGTGTCCCATGACTGTTCCATGTCTTCAGGGAGCCCATCCCAGAGCAAAGTATCTGTCCTGCTTGGTCTGATGTTCAATGCGCACAGATAGGTCCTTCTGCATGATCCTTTTCCACCAATGGAACAAGGTGAAGAAATTAGAGTGTGCCTCAGAACAAGTGATACCTAGAGGGAAGGCTGCAAAAATAGGAGACTGATTCCTCAGGCCCCAGGGTTGCGATGGCATGTAGGGAGGAGGAGCTGCAGGATTGTAGATTGGGGGACCAGCTGGGTACATAGGATACTGGGGGGCAGGACCACTGGGAGGGTACACAAAGCCTGGCTGGGGGGAGGGTGCAGGGCCAGCTTTGGGATCCTGAGGATATAGGTA